ATAAAAAATGTGATATATATATATCACATTTGTTTATGAAGTCATTTATTGATCAATATTTGGATTGCTTGCATATGTTGACTATTGTGAATAATAGGACTATGAATATATATATATATATATATATATATATATATATATATATATATATATATATATATATTTAACTTTGAGATATAAATTCAGAAACAAAAATAGGTACTCAGGTATTGAAACACCAATGTTCGTAGTCCTATTACCCACAATAGTCAACATATGCAAGCAATCTAAATATTGATCAATAAATGAATTCATAAACAAATGTGTTATTTACATAGAATGAAATATTATTTAAAAAAATAAAGTTCTGATACAAGCTACAACATAGAAGAACCTTGTAATTAATTAACTGCAATAAGTAAAATAACATATATAAAAAGAGACAAATATTATACACACCCACACAGAAATCAAATAATTTACAGAGATACAATCAAAGTGGAAACAAACAGAAGTGAGGGAAAGAAGTAAGGTAAATTATTGCTTAATGAGTACCGAGTTTCTGATGAACATGATTAGATAGTTGCTTTAGTCATTTTTTTGCTGCTATGACTAAAAGACCTGACAATAACTACATAGAGGAGTAAAAGTTTATTTAAAGCTCACAATTCCAGAGGTCTCATTGGTCTCATTGGGCCCATTGCTCTGGACCCAAGGTGAAGCAGAACATCATGATGGAAGAGCATGAAAGAAGAAAGTAGTTCAGAATATGGCCAGCAGGGAGCAGAAAAAGAGACATGGCAGACCAGGGACAAAATATATACCCTGCACAGTTCTTGTCAGGTCTCTGGGTCAAAAAATCTGAATCCAATGTCCAATAGTCCTCCTTCTCTTCTGAAACCTCATGAGCCCAGTTTTTACTGTCCATAGTCATATCAGCATTCTGGTCTTCTGAACTCCCACCAGAATTTTCCTGTTCTGCTTACATTCTAAAGTATTTCCAGCTTGCATCTCCAATCATCTCAAAATTCTTCACACAAATTCCAAAAATGCCCTAAAAGCTTCTAAATAAAATGGTCAAGTTAGTCACAGCAACATGTTTCTCACTTCTCAGTACCAATTTCAGTCTTAGTAATATTTTTCAGTCCTTTGACCCAAAGAACTGACAAGAACTGTGCAGGGAGTTAAAGTTTATTTAGAGCTCACAGTTTCAGAGGTCTCAGTCTGTAGATGGCCAATGCCATAGCTCTGGATCCCAGAGGAGGCAGGACTTCATGGTGGAAGAGCATAGAAGAGGAAAGCAGTTCAGAACATGGCCACCAGTAAGTAGAAAGAAGGGAGGGGGAGGGAGAGAGAGACTGATGACCAGGGACAAA